TGCCAAGAAGGGTAAAGCAATGACACCTCTAAGTTAGCCTCTTAGGTACCTGTTAGGAGTGTTAGTGATGATTCAGGCCTGTTTATTCTCCTGAGACAGAATTTTGGCATTTGTTTGCCAGTCTAATTTTTGATTTTTTTATATTCTTACTGATATGTGTGAACAAAATACTAAGACTCTCTGTGTTGCTTTTCCCAGCCAGATGGGTTTGTTAGTATAATGAGAAAAGATAAGGGATAGAGTTAAATGTGTTACTGGGTATGGTGGGAGTGTAATATATGAGCATACACTGGAAGGCTGTCTAACTCTTCTCTCAAGCCAAGGTCAAGCAACAGCTCGGAGGGGCAAAGGGGATGGGGAGGGGAGGCGTAAGCAACACTAAAAACCAAAGAAATGCCTGACCCTGACCGAAGCACAACCTCACTCGTTACCCCTCCCATGGGATACAAAAGAGGTGGTATGAAGGCCCCGGACTCATGACCCTCCAAAACATAACATAACCATAAGTTATAAGGCGTGGGACCAGGGGCATGCACTGCTGGTATATTTGGGCCTTCTAAGAAGGAAGAGGAGGGGGAACAGGGACATGGGTAAAGACTCTGTGGTGTCAGAGCTATGAATATCCTTGCTTGAAATTAACCCTAATAAACATTTCATTGCCTGCACTTGGGACTTCTGGTCTTCTACTTTCTGTCTGTGTGACAGGAACTGGAGAGGGGGGAGTTGAAGGGAAAGCTCCACTGTCACAGGGTCCGCACAGGTTTCCACTCTCTCGTGCCTGTGCCCTGTGTTGGGTGGTTAAAATAAATAGTTCCCACGCTTTTTTCAGTGCTTCACCCTTGTGTCTTTATTTACAGCCAGACCCTCCCCAGGGCTCCTCCTGGCCCATGAGGCTCTTTTCTCCTGGTGAGGAGGCAGAGATGTAACCCTCCTATCACCTCCCAGGCTAGCCTCCTGACTGAGCTTTTCTTTTGGCTTTTATAGCCCTCCCCCTCCTCAGCCCAGCTGTCGCTACTTAACTCAACTCATAGCAGTGAACCAGCCCTCCTTAGAGCCTGCAGCTGGGCTCTCTGCAGACAGCCTGGGCCCCCGCCCCTGGCCTCCCTACCAGAAAGCAGGGCTTAGCCAGCATTTTAGCAGGGCATTCCAGGGGTTTACCCTTGCCCTGCCACACATCTCCCCCCTTCAAGAAGCCGCCAGGCTCCACCTGTCCCTGCCCCTCTTCAGCCAGACAAATCCACCCCTCAGAGGGAGCTCCTTTGATTTTTCAGAGGGAATTTTAAAATAATTTTTATTTTATGTTGGTCAAAAGTCAATGAAAAAAAAGTCAGCTTTTGAAAGTGTTTGGTTTTCAATAAATATTTTGGAGGGTTAGTAAATATTTTCATTTCCCATGAAAAATCTGTTTTCAATTTTAAAAAGCCACAACCATTTCTGATTTAAAAAACAATTAGGTTTTTGTTTTCAACATTCAGTTTTGGAAAAAACGTTATGTGGCAGAGAGAAGAGTATCAAGAATGATGAGGTTTTTATTTCTTATGTTGTTGTGGCTATTAAAAATGAAGGTTTAATCCAAAAGCACCATTTTCAAACAGATAAATAATGTGCCACGACATCATATAATTTCCGATAAAGCACATATTCCTGAGAATTGCTTAGAGCTTCCCTAGATCTTAACACATTTGAGTATCTTTGTATTGTAGACAGGCTAGGATTTTCAAGGGCATCTACAGGAGTTATGTACCTAACTCCCATTGAATTTTGATGGCATTTGAGCACTTAATTCCCTTAGGCTACTTGAAAATCTGAGCGTTAGAAGTTGTCACTTTTGTCACCTCTGTAGCCCCTCCTCCCCTAGGTGTGGCTGGTGTTGCTTCACTGTTGCTTGCTGTTGGGTGTGGTTTTTTCCCTCTCTTGTCTTCAGATGGATTGGGTCCTGAATTATTTTTTGTGGTGCCTGGGGCTTCCACAACACTGTGCCCCCTGCTGGCAAAGTGTATAAAAGCCCTACATGAGAAACACTAAAGTACTGCAACAAACCCCACCAAAGAAATGTCACAGCTCCCAAAATACCAATATATCAAAGAGGGACTTTATTGGAAGCAAGAGAATAGAATCTGTGGAAGGAATGGGTTAGGGTTAACTAATAAGCACTAAACTTAAAAAAGTCAACCAATTCCCCGTTCATTGTATAGGAAGCTTGAGCACGGAACTCAGACTTTGTGAATCCCAGTGAGTTTCTGGATATCTAAAAGTTTTGTGTCATGCCACGACTAAGTTTCTTTGTGAATCTAGCCCCAGGTTTCTTGACTTTCCGTCCCCTGCTCTTAACAGCTCTAGAGGTGATCCCAGCAATTACAGGTCAGTAAGCCTAACTTCAGTACAGGGAAAATTGGTTGAAACTATAGTAAAGAACAGAATTATCAGACATATAGATGAACACAATTTGTTGGGGGAAGAGTCAACATGTTTTTTGTAAAAGGAAATCATGCCTCACCAATCTGCTAGAATTCTTTGAGGCAGGGCTGACCTTAGGGAAAATGGCACCCTGGGCAAACTTGCATTTTGGTGCCACTGGCCCCTGTGGGCGTGGCACCCCCTGTTGCCCAGGCACCCATGTGCTCCCCAGGCTCCCCGACCTCCCTTCCGCCCTAACCTCTGCACAGTGTCTCCTTCATCTCTAATGCCTACTCCCCCCTGCACCCCTTATCCCTATGCCCGCTTCACTAAAAACCCCTGCCCCCCCCCTACACCCCAACACCTGCACCCTCCTGTGCCCCAGCCCCTGCACTGTGCCCCCTTTGCCCCTAACCCCTGCATCCCCCTCCTTCATCCACGGGGGGAAATTGAGCTGGATGCACAAAGCAGCTGGCATTGCTGCTCGCTCCCCCGCTGGACTGCTGCTCCTCTGCACCCCGCAGCCCTAGGGAGCTGTGAGAAGGGGAGCAAGGAGCAATGTCAGGGCTTCCTGAATCCAGGTCACTTTCCCTGTGGGCTGGGTAAGGGGAGGGCAGGAGAGCAGCAGCTCCTGATGCCTCAGCACAGCTGTCATGCCAAAGAAGGGGCTCGGATACACTCAATGAAGCCACACCAGACGTATAAGTATAACTGGTTTTATCGCCAAAGTTACGAAAAGTATAATCAGCTTTCCAGCCTTCACGCGTTATTATATATGTGCTTTCCAGCAACCAAGCAGGCAAGCAAGAATCAATGCTTACATCCCTTCTGCTACAGACAGTCCCGGAGCCTCCAACCTTGTTCCTGAGGGTTTGTAGCAGGTGCTGCTCCAGCGTGGGGAGTTCCTGGGCACCTACAAGGCCAAGGACCGCAGGTTAGACTGTTCGTCGAAAGAAATTCTCATACCCATTTTTATTATCATCTCTTTCTCGGGGGGCGTATACATCCACAAGCAGGCTCTGGCAGGAAACACTACTGCTTTCTATTCCCACACTTAACACTCTCAGGCCCTCCTTATCTCTTCCCTTGTTTATCCAGTCAGAGTTGCTGCAAGCCAGCCCGGCGGGTCAAAGCCAGTTCACTACTAGCTCCACCGGAGACATCCTGTAATAACAGGCCAAGGTAACTTGCAGTCAGCCCCAACAACAGCCCAGGTGGGGAAGTGACCTGCATACAGTGAGCCCTGCTGTGTGTGTTGGGGGGACTATGTGAAGGAATCTGTGTGTGTGTGTGTTGAGGGGAGTGTGTGTGTGCCTGAGTGAGTGTGCTGTCTCTTTAAGAAAGCACTCAGGGTCAGGAGCCTGAACTAGGCTTGTTCAGACACAAGCAGCTGCCAGCAGCGCTGGACCCAGAAGGCAGCAGCACACACAGACTCCCCCCCCCATCCTGTCACCCCAGCTCCATGGAAATCGGGTACATGGGTTTGGGGGAGGAGGTGACCCCACCATCAACTCCTTGCCCCCCACAGAGCAGACAGGAGGATACTCCCAGTCCAGAGTGGTTAGGGTCGACTCCAGGGATGAACTGACAGGGATGGGAGGGTTGGGGGACAGGAACAGCAGCGGCTGCACACGTGGAGCAGGGCGGAGGAGGGGCACCCGTGCTCTGGAGGAGTCACCTGGCTCTGAGGGCTGGTCGTCCAACTGCCTCTTGCAGCTCGGTCTCTCCCCCGCCCCCAGGCTGCTGCTCCCATACCTACCTGCCATGCTGCCTCCATCAGCCCAGCTGGCTCTCAGCAGCTGGTCAGGTGGGAATCCAAACCCTGCACACCTGAGATGCATAAACAGGGGACTATCGAGTAGGAATAGAGAAACTATTTTACCTCTGTATTTGGCACTGATGCAACCGCTGTTGTGTCAATTTCTGGTGCTCACAGTTTAAGAAGGATGTTGATAAATTGGAGAGGTTTCAGAGAAGAGCCACAACAATTAAATGGTAAGAAAACCTGCCTTATAGTGATAGACTCAAGGAACTCAATCTGTTTAGCTTAAGAAAAAGAAGGTTAAGGGCTGACTTGAATACAGTCTATAAGCATGTACACAGGAAAAATATTTAATAACGGGCTATTCAATCTAGTAGGGAAAAGTATAGCATGATTCAATGGCCAGAAGTTGAAGCTAGACAAATTCAGACTGTAAATAAGGGATAATTTTTAACAATGAGAGTAATTAACCATTGGAACAATTTTCTAAGTCCTGCGGTGGATTCTCCACTACTGACAATTTTAAAATCAAGATTGGATGCTTTTTTCTAAAACAAATATGTTCTAGGAATGATTCTGGGGAAGTTGTCTGGCCTGTGCTATAAAGGAGGTCAAACTAAAAGATCAGAATGATTGTTTGTGGCCTTAGAATCTTGGAATCTATAATGGGCATAATACAAAAAGAGAGAGAGCGATCGAGAGACCCTCAGTCTGTCCACTTTCCACAATGGTAACTTCATTTAAAACCTTTCAGAGCAGTAACATTTACATTATATTTCACCATTATTATTATTATTTCATATTCTTCTTACTCCTTCTCCAATTCTAAACACAGTGAAGGATGGATGCCAGAAACCAGAGTGCTGTTGCCGAATTCATCCTCTTAGGGTTCAATAGCCTACGAAGCTGGCAGGCCTTTCTTTTCTTTACCTTCTTCCTCCTTGCTTATGCCTTGACCATAATGGCCAATGCCACCATCATCGCCACGGTGTGGAAGGACAGCCGCCTTCACACACCCATGTACTTCTTCCTAAGCAACTTCTCTTTCATGGAGATCTGGTACACCACCGTCACCGTGCCCAAGATGCTGTCCAGCTTCATGGTGGAGAGGACCACCATATCTGTGTCGGGCTGCATCATCCAATTCTACGTCTTCTTCTGCTTGGGAACCACAGAGTGCATGTTCATGGGTGTGATGGCTTATGATCGCTACATTGCCATCTGCTACCCCCTGCGCTACCACACCTTGATGAACAAAAAGGTCTGCACGCGGCTGGCTGTTGGTTCTTGGGTGAGTGGTTTCATTGGCCATTTGCCCCTCACCATCTCTACCACTCAGTTCTTCTTCTGCGGCCCCAACAAGATCAACCACTTCTACTGCGACCTGGCACCAGTGCTGAACCTCTCATGCACAGACACCTCAGTCAGCGAGAGGATATTCTTCACCTTCGCCTGGGTCATCATCCTCTGCTCCTTCCTGCTCACTATGATGTCCTATTGCTACATCATCTCCACCATCTGCAGGATGCCCTCCACCACTGGCAGACAACGGGCCTTTTCCACCTGCGCCTCCCACCTCACCGTGGTCACCATTTTCTACAGCACTGTCACCTTCATGTATGTCCGGCCCACGGTGCGCTACACCTTCCAGGCAGACAAGGTGGTCTCCATCTTCTACTGTGTAGTCACCCCGCTCCTCAACCCTGTCATCTACAATCTGAGGAACAAGGAAATGAAGGAAGCGCTGAGGAGGCTTCTGTGCAGCAGAAGAATGATGAATTGGAAGAAGGTTGGACTCATTAACTGGGATAGTTAGGAGAAAAGGAGGGGGATTCTGGAGGGCTTCAATGTTAGCCTCTCCTATCCACCAAGGTCAACGGTTTAAATGATGATGGAAGCTATTGGTCAGCAATTGATACTAGGGTTCTATTCCCATTTCTGCATTGCAGTTAGAGAAAGAAATAAGTGTGTGTGGGGGGGAGGTCAGGACTTCTGCGTTCTATTCACAGCTCTTGGAGAATTGTGGGGTTTAATGGGTTAGACTGGAGGGCGGGGGGCAGGGAGTCAGGACTCTGGTTTTTATCCCTGGCTCTTTCAGAGGAGTGTGGTCTAATGGTCTAGTGGGTTAAAGCAGGTGAGAGCTGGGAGGTAGGGCTCCTGGGCTGTACACCTAGCTATGGGAGAGGAGTGTGTCAGATTAGCAGAGGCTCAGATGCAGGATTCATGGAGTCTATAACTTGCTTTGCTCCTGACCCCCTGTGTGACATGAAGCAAGGTAACAGGCCTCACTCACCATTGTGAAGCACACTTTTTTGAAAGAAAATAAGTCTATTAAGTGGTTTGTTGGCTGAGCAAAGTGAGGCCCTAAATTCAACCTGATGGTATTTCTCTGTTTGTTTCTCTGCAATATGGTAATGTTTGAATGCCCAGTCCACATTTTCATGGATTGTTCTAGGCACCAGTGGGCAGAACCCTATTAATTTGGGGGAACCAAAAGAGGGAATGGGGGACACAGAGTGACCCTGCCATCTGGTTAACAGGGACAGATTTTCACAGGTATTTATATGCCCACAGATGCAGATAGGTGCCTAGTGGGATTTTCAAACAGGACTAAGCAGGTGAGGTTCCTAACTCCTATGCAGATCACACCAACTCCCTCTCTGTACTCCCTACCGAAGCATACAAACAAACACACATACATCCACACACATCTCACGTACCTAAACACCCACACAACTCTGTGTCAGATATCCCAACATCCCTAACACTCCACAGATATCCAACACACACCTCCAGCCAACACCCCCACACACATCCAAACCTGAATATGAGCAAACACATACCTCACAGTTACATTCCCACACATTAACATTGCAATGCTTCCACCCACCCCAACTCTCCCCTCACAGCCCCATCACCCTGACATAACTTGAGCCAACATATACCTGTACCCCATATGCACACACATATAGTCACCTCATATATATAATCATGCCATCCCCTATCAAAACCACCCCACACTCCATATATAACCCCATCCCTTGCAGCTACACCCACACATTGGACACCCACATCTTCAGATGCTACACACCAGCCCAACAAAGACCCTAACTTCACACACAAAGACGTCCCACTTCTCTTCGAAATTCACACCCCCACTAAGAAGTTCATCTTCCAATATACTCCACCCCCACATATATCTCACTGCTTTCTCTTTCTCTCTCTCTCACACACACACACACACTCACTCTTCAGCAATACTCCATCTTACACCTCTCAATACACTGAACCTTCTCCACGGAAATCCATTGTATATACCCCACATCTCATTCCCCATAACACCTCCAAACAAACTTTGCACACACACCCTCTCTAACAAATGAACACCTATCCCACAAAACTAACTCCCTCGCCCACACTCTTAAACCCTGACACACAAATATGTTCACACACATCACATATTTTTGTCCCACAAATGATACTTTCATTTATTTTGTTAAATTTTGATGATAGCTAACAATAGAGGGGGAAAGAGGGGTGTGTATGTTTGTGTGTGTTGGACAGCCAGAGAAATAACCAAATAATTGCTGAGTATTGTGATTTGTGTTAAGTCTGAATTCTTCCAAGCCTATTTTTCCAAGTTTACACATGGGAATAATTGAGCTATATATTAACTGATCTTTCTCTTTAGACATATTTTCCAGTTCTTCTATAAAATATAAACACATTGGTCCGCCAGTGCTCCCTCTCCACACGTCCACACATATACCCACAGAAAAATCTCAGGAACTAGTACAGATACAAATATATATCTATATGTGAAGACACATATAACTATAACACACAGGTCTGCTGACAGAAATTCTGGTCCCCAGGCTTGGGCCAGGGTCAGGGCCGTCCCTGACAGGGCAGGGCCTGGGACGGAAGTGATAAATCTGTCACTTCTGGGACCGCCTGTCACTCCTAGGCACATGCGACTGCTCCAGGCCCTGTGCTTTCGGGGCCCCGCAGGCCAGCGTGATTGGCCAGTGTGGTCACATGTGCCTAGGAGCCCTGCGACCCGCCCAGGTGATTTAAAAGGGCCTGGGGCTCCCGGCTGCTGCTACCATGGAAGCTGTTGCAGCTGGGAGCCCCCCGGCCCTTTTAAATCACCCAGGCCCCTGGGCATTTGCCCTCTTTGCCCTCACAGTCGCCAGGCCTGATTACACACTAAAACTCACATGCACATGAATGTGTGAAATACACAGGTATCTACCTTATATAAAAAAGAAAGAAAAAACAAATGCACAAATACAGAATGGGGGATACCTTGCTTGGCAGCAGCACTACTGAGAAAGATCTGGGAGCTGTAGCGGATCACTACCTCAACATAAGTGAGCAATGTGATGCTGTTGAAAAAAGTAATAATTTTAGGTTGCATTAACAGAAGCATAGCATGCAAGTCATGGGAGGTGATAGTACCACTCTATTTGGGGCTGGTTAGGCCTCAGCTGGAGAACCATATCCAATTTTCCAATGTATAGAAAGGATGTAGAGAAACTGGAAAGGATCAAGAGACAAGTGACTAAAATGATCAAAGGAATGGAATACAAGCCATGTGAGCAAAGGCTGATGGAATTGGGTATGTTTAGTTTGGAAACGAAGATCTTATGGGAGGACATGATAGCAGTCTTCAAATACTTGAAAGGCTGCTATAAAAGAGATGGAGAAAAGTTGGTATTTTTTTGTCAGATAGGGGAGGACAAGAGACATTGGGTTCAAACTACTGCAGAGCAGATTTAGATTTAAATCTCAGGAAAAACTTCCTAACTGTAAGAACAATAGGGAAAGGGGGTTAGACTTGATGACCCTTGTGGTCCCGTCTAACTCTTTGATTCGATGATTCTACATGCAAAAGTATCAGACACATAAACTTGCACAAATACAAGTGTACCATATAAAGCACATACAAAAATACATCTATCCATTGCTGGCTCCAGCTTTGTTGCCACCCCAAGCGGCGGAAAAAAAAAGGAGAACCCGATCGAGCTGCCGCTGAGGAGCAAGACAGCGAGTGAGGGACCCGCCACCAAATTGCCGCCAATCCGGAGCAGGCAATTGATCTGCCCCCGAAGTGCCACCACCACCGAATTCGGACGGGCCGCCCCGACAATGGAGGGAGTGCCACCCCTATCCATTGGCCGCCCCAGGACCTGCTTCCTTTGCTGGTGCCCAGAGCCAGCCCTGCATCTATCAGTTACACAAACAGATCAGCCACATACAATATTCTAGCACCTGTTCACACAAACACGAAGGCAAACAAACCACTATCATACATACACTTACATATACAATCGCTGCTGATAAAATTTGCTCATGATGGAAAGATTGGCAGAGTGATAGTAATGATGAGGACAGGGCAGTCATACAGAGCGTTCTGGTTCACATGGTAAGATGGGCCCATTCAAACAAAATACATTTTAATGCAGCCTAATTCAAGGTCATTGATCTGGGAGCAAAGAATACAGGTCAGACATACACTGTATCCTGGAAAGCAGTTACTTTGAAAAGGATTTAAAGGTCATAGTAGGCAAAGAATTGAACATGAGCACATGGTGCAATGTTGTGGCAGAAGAAGACATATGTATGCCTTGGGTATATAAACAGAGGAGTAGTGAGTGGAAGCTGGGAGGTGATTTTATCACAGTATATGGCATTGGTGAGGCTGCTATTAGAACACAGCAACCAGTTTTGGTGTCCAGGTTTTAGACAGGATGTTGAAAAATTGGAGGGTGTGAAGAAAAGAGCTACACACAATTATTTGAGGGCTGGAGATAGTGTATTACAGTTACTGACTTAAAGAGCTCAATGTTTACACTGTTGGATCTAATTATTTGCAAAATACTTTTCTCTTTTTTCTTCTCACATACAAAGGCCCATGCTAATTAGTGTAACGTTGGAGACACATGTATCAGAGGGGTAGCCGTGTTAGTCTGGATCTGTAAAAAACAACAAAGAGTCCTGTGGCACCTTATAGACTAACAGACGTATTGGAGCATAAGCTTTCGTGGGTGAATATATGTGTCTGACGAAGTGGGTATTCACCCATGAAAGGTTATGCTCCAATACGTCCATTAGTTTACAACGTGCCACAGGACTCTTTGTTGCTTTTTGGAGACACAGTTTCCTCAACCAATTCCTACTAATGAGTGACACCCAAATCTTGTTTAAAAAACTCATGGACTGGGTTAAAAAAATGGTGCTGAAAGCAAGTGAGTGGAGAGAGAAGAACAAGCTAATAATGCATCTAGTTAGTCACTGAAGTAAATTCAGCATCCTTGTGTCATTAAAAGTGTGATTCCTCTTAACTAACCTCCTGGAAATAAAGTCGTGTGGAGAAATGCCTGTGCTGATTCATGATACAGAGTTCACTGCTTGGGCCAGAAAAAAATCCCATTAAAGCCCATTGGCCAAATCCTTCATCCTTACTTTGGTTTTACTCAGTCCTTACTCAGGGAAAGTTCACAATGAAATCAGTGGACCAAAACCACAGGCCTTGCTTTTTTTTACTCAGGTAAACACACTTCAAAATAAACGTGAAGCATACTGATGGTCCTGATCAGTTCTTACTCAGATAAAACTATCCCTGGAATCAATAGGCAAAGGCTGGAATTTTTAACTGCACCTAAGGGAGATAGGCACTTAAATACAACTGACTTTTAAACAGATTTGGGCACCTAAATCATGCAGGATCCTTTCAAACTCCCAGCCTAAATCCTGCGGCCGTTTCTTAGCTTTTGCTCAGTTCTTACTCTGGCAAAACTTACAGTGCCTACA